ACTATTTGATAAGAAAATTGAGCACTCATGTGCTAATGTGCCTAAAAATGAATTTCAAACATCAATCATTTCTGTTCTTAAGCTTTCCCTCCTCAGTTCTCAAACTGTACTTCTCCATAAACGCAATAAAACTTTGAAGCTGTAACGTTATGAAAACCTAAAATCAACCGGGCAAAAATTCTAATTGCACATATTGCGTGTCTTTTTAATAATATTGCACAACCCTTTGAAATCCCCCAGCTCTGGCACACGTATAAGCATCATTTCAGCGGTTATGAAAATATGGATCAGGTGAAAGAGGCGGTAGATCCCAGCAGGACGCGCCTAGCTTAACAGTGATTAGGGGCCAAGGTGAAGAAGCGATGTGAATGAGAGAGGTGCAACTGGCGCAAACACTGGGAAAGAGGATCCAAGGCTGAGCCCAAGGAGGGGCTTCCATCTGCTGAAGACGTGGGAGCAGCGAAAGGCCAATGCTCATGTACAGACAGCCGGAATTCATGGAAGGTGATGGAGAGAAAACATGCAGATGGAGTAGGACATGTGAGAACATGTGATGAACACATATATAGAGTCTAGGGATGTACCGATCCAATATTCAGTATCGGTATCGGGGGCCGATATGGGTATTTGGTAAGGATCGGATAATATCGGATTTGTTAAATATGAAGCCGATTTACGTCACTTTTCAGCATGCTCACGCTTTACGGCTGCCGTAAACTAAATACAATGTAAAACTAGGGCTGGGCGAGAAAACGACAACGAGATATATTGCAATAGACACGTGTTCGATATCAATAGAAAACGGGGTCGATAGAATGTTAGTTTAACATTAATCCGTTAGAAAAAACAGGACGAAAACACAGGAAGTAAAGCCGAGTAAGAGGCGCGCGGCATTCTGGGGGATGTAGGCATAGGCTTCTCGACCTATCACAGCCAAGCGTGAACCGCAAAACTTTCTGGGAAATGCATTAACAACAACCGCACAATGCGTAGTGTACATGGCTCTAAAGATTGTTTTTCAATGCCGTGTCAATGGTTATGCACGTCCGTGCGAGGCCTAGCATGTGCGGTGTGGCAGAGGCAGTGGACACAGAGGCCTGGTGCATGCGGCGAAAGCAAGAGATTAACTTTTTCCTCCGTCAAGCTATCAGAGAGAGGCCGCACAGAGCCGTCATGGGGACACAAAACAGGAGATAAACCAGGACTAACTATGGGGGAGACTGCTTGTGAACATATTCCTCGAGCCTCATTCCCCGCGACTGTAAACAAGGCTGCTAACGTGTGTTAGCCGACACGACAAACGTATTTATTCAAGTAAAAATGCAAAATCTTTAATGCTTTGAAAATATTAGAAAAAATTGTATCGGATCGGTATCGGCAAAACAATATTTAGAATATCGGAATCAGATCGGATTACAAAAAATCTGGATCGGTACATCCCTAATAGAGTCAAATAAATATCGCAGCAAAGAAATCTGAACTTTATGTAACAACAAAAACGAGGAAAAGAATTACATAGTTTCCTTTATTCTGTTGCAGTTTCATTTTCATGGAATCTGTTTTACTTAATTCAACAGACGACAACACTGGCTCTAACCCTAACCCTTCAAGGAACAGAATGTTTATTTGATTTTAAATGACATCTATTGTCTGTGTCCCCACAGACGGTCAACATGTACAGCTCCAATACGGTCAGTCTGATCACTTTATCATTCTGATCATTCATCATAGACACAATAGTACAATGTTTGCGTAAACATTATTATAAGGACTTCATCCGGACATCATTGTTGGACCTGGAGGTTTTATGGACCTCAAGACTGACCTCTATTCCAAAGTCTTACATAAAACACTTCGTCACACCTCTGAAAAAGCTGGATTATTATAAAAAACACAATCTTGAAGCAATTTAGTTTCATTTTTTTATTTCATAAAACTGATCTAAATGTGACAGTGGCCAAACCAATATACATGTGTTAGAAAACTGAGATAAATGATTGCATAGTTAAATTTGTGGGTGTTTGTGAATAAGGTATCCCAGTTTTATAACCTTGTACCCTGCTCAGATCCATAGGTGAAAGACCACAGCTGCATACACGGCCACAGGTGAGTAATAGAACATAATGTGAATGTACGGACGCACACGGGGAGGGCTACAACACTCCAGTTCACAAGCTAAGAACAAGTGACGGGCTGCAAATGCAAGCTGACAGCCTCCTTCACGCAGGGCAATGCATGCCATTCGCTGCGCGCCTTTAATTACCTGCCAGTGATGTCATCTTTCAAATACCACGCCTCGTTCGTCTTAATGATCTGCTCCAATCAACGGTACGACAATACACTTCCGGATCACTGACTTCTGTGAAAAACTATGGAGTGGAATACAGATGCATGTAGGTTTTGGAAAAAACATATAATTAAGTCAAATAAATAGGTCTCCATGTATTTCCTTCAAAAACGACTAATTTTGTATTGTTTAAGTGAAGACGTTATTGAAAACATATAATGCTTCTCCCTTTTATATAGTGATAGTCTATAGTCTTTTTCCCACTGCAGCTCTGTGTTTTTGGACACGTGATGGAATGTCCTATTGACCCAGGACAACAGTGGGAAAGGTTGCCGTGTTGTTTGGACCTGAGTAGGGTATCATTCAGAGTCTGCTGATATAATACCTATCTGCACACAGGGAACTTTCAATTTGATATGATTCGATACAATATATTTCTACTATATTATGGTTCAGAGAAACATAAGGCTTTTGGTCCCTTATGTTACACTCCACTACATTTTAACACTAATAGAACACTATGTATGTATATTTTGTTATGATTATATATATATTTTATGATTATCATTGTTACTATTATTATTATTTATTATTATTATTCTGAAAAAAATAGAAGTTTAGCATCAGCAATACAAAAATGTTCAAAAATATAATTTACAAGGACAACTTTATAAATGAAAGAGCGGGACGTGCAACAGCCCAAAATCTCATGATTGGAGCTTCACTGAACCCAAACACGGCTTGTTACGCTGTCATTATGCAAATGTCATGTGCAGCTCGTTGTTATTAATATATCTATATCTATCTATCTATCTATCTATCTATCCGTATATATAATATATATATATATATATATATATATATATATATATAAATTTATTTATTTATTTTTTTTTTTTTTTTTTTTAACCCGTTGGAAATAATGACAGCTGAATAATTGCGGTCTTTGTGTTGTATGCATTGCATCACACAGAAAGGTTCAATTGTTTGACCTGAGCTTCCCAAAATGGGGTGCAGGCCCTCTTGGGGTTCCTCAGAGGCCCTTCTGACAACACAACAAGCAATTGATAATTAAATCAAACCTACACACATTTGGTTAAAACAGAAACATGAATATCCTTCATTCTATGATTGAAATCATGAATGTTGATCTAATGTATGCAATTATAGTTTATATTTTAAATAAAAAACATGGGGTGTCCCACACTGCTGCGTTAGACAGTGAAACGTTCCTCAACAATGAAATCCGAAAGATAAATTATAGGCTCCAGCCTGAGATTATCATTGATTTGCCAACAATACTGTCAGAATAATCCTTAAAAAATATATAAAGTCCACCCTAATCCTTGTACGGTAAAATGTAATTACTGTGTCTTGATTCCATTTCCAGACTTTTTGTTGTGCTTAACATATGTGTCAGCTATGATTCCGATAACAAGCTCAATGCAGCAGAACTAATGAAACACATTATGAAAAACGTGAAAGACTTTAAAGTATGTTTTGTAGTCAATTATAATTTCTCCCATTACAAGGCAGGTTTCTGGTTAGGAAATATTGCAACATGCCGTGCCGCGATTCTCCAAAGTCATTTAAGCAACGGCTCTGTTTGATTACAGCCATAAAAAGAGGAAGCAAAAGCCTTGGAAAATTTGGAAATAATTCATCCTTTCTCTACCAATCAAGAATAGCCTAATCGCTTCAAATGAGAATCGTTTTGGCAAGGATTATTAAGCCAGAAAAAAAACACTGAAACAAGTCTATGCTAATACAATATATCTCCATAGCAGGATAAACTATTTGATCAGCATCAGAAAGCAGCAAATATTCGGCAGACAGAACGAAGTTAGCCATAGAAGATACAGAATCAACTCTTTGTATTACACTACAAGGAAAATATGAAGAATCTCACTATTGTTGCACAGAAAATATATTGAAACACATTATATAGTGTTACAGATATAATGAATGCAATAGGTAATGACATTATATTATGTTTATAAGACTTGACACATTACAATGACTCAATATAGCATCAAGCAATATATTTGGAAAGACATTAGAACATAGAAAAGCCTATCCTTGATATCACATTAGAATCATCCACAAAAGCTCAATTCAATCAGATAACTTTGGGAAAGGCTGTGTCTGTGCGAAACTAGGCTACATACTCCGTGCAAGCCTCAATCGTAAATCCTGGGTATAATATCATGGGAGTGTCGCTTTAATTTTGCTTGAGGGATAACTGTCTCCATGAATGCGCAAAACAAACTATATGGAATTACAAAAGGTGTAATGGGAGGAGTGCGTACGCTGCTAGGGAAGAGGGCGCGTAATGTTTAGGGAAACGAAAAAAGCCTACATTTGTATGAAATAACACAGCAAAAAGTCAGATTAGAAGCACAAAAAGACAATAGTTCTATTCAAAAGTTTACACAAAGTTACATTGCTCTACATTCAGATATGAAAAAGCAGTGACGATGGAAAGTTGGAACTACAACACACGCGCCAGACATGCCCCAAGTTTGCGCGCAATTTTAACTTATATCACAAATTACAAACTTTAAAAGCTGTTATTGCTGTGTGATGATGTGTACATTATTTACCTGTTGGCCCCTCGTTGCCATCGGCGTAGATTCTCGCAGCCAAAATCAGCAGAAAGGCGCAGGTGTTCATGTCGAAGCAGGTTTTAAGTCCACTTGGAGAGCTCGGTGAAATGCATTGCAGGGAGTGTGGCTCGGAACGGTAAAAAGGTAAAAAGTTGTTCCCGTCCGCGGCGGCTCTCCTCCGGTGTGAGGGAGTTTGGCGAAGCGGTGGTGGTGGAGGCAGAAGCGGGGACTTGTGTGCGATCTGACGTCAGGGTAAAGGGTCCAGAGGCAGCTGCTCAGAGGAGCCTGTCCCCCCGCGGAGAGCGAGGGAAGGGCGACGCTAAGCGGAGGCACGGCGGAACAGCGCCTGTGGTGTCAGCCAGCAGTATTTTAGCAAAGGTAAATAAAGGCAAATAAAATAAAACATAAAGAATACCGTACGGTCGATGATAATACAATTGTTTGTCCTAATAGATAGTCTTAAAAGCAAACTAGTTCCTCGCTCTAAAACAGTTCTATCACAAGTATTCACAGGTGAAAACTCGTGATAGATCCAAATTGTTTTGAGAGAAGGAAATGTGTAAAATTGATTATATTACATGAATACATGTTTTATTAATTTAGAAGTTTTAAGTTTAAATATGTTAAGTTCCAGAATTCAATCATAATAATGCATCGGTATTGTAGATTTCTTTTGGACACTCAAAGACATGTCATTATTCATTCACACCATACACAGTAGTGATGTAGCCACAGCTACCCTGGGGCACACTGACAGAAGCAAGGCAACCAGAATGTGCCATTGGCCCCTCCGACTATCACCAATAATTCACACACACACGCACGCACACACGCACATACGCATGGTCCAATCTGAACATTTGTATTACTTAATGATACTTTTAGGCTCATCATGTTTACTGTATAGTTTGTTTAAGGTGAAGGTCAAGGTCAAGTTAATTCATATAGCACATTTTAAAAAACATCACTGTCACTACTGTAAGTGCTTTCCAGACATTACAAAATACAACCCAACACATTAATAAAATGCAGCATAAAAATACATACAGGTCCACTATCATAAGTTAATAAGCCAGAGCAAAGAAATGTGTCTTTAGATGCGATTTAAAGCTCTCTACTGAGAGGCAGCTCTTACACAATAAGGTCGTGCAGTGATTTAAATATTAAATGGGCGGCACGGTGGCTGAGTGGATAGCACTCTCGGGTTCGAATCCCTGTCGGAACAGGGCGTTTCTGAGTGGAGTTTGCATGTTCTCCCTGTGTCTGCGTAGGTTTCCTCCGGGTACTCCGGTTTCCCCTACCACTAAAAACATGTGCAATAGTTCAGGGTGAATGAGAGTGTGTTTGTGAGTGCGAATGTGGGACAACGGATGCAAATTAGCCCATTGCTACAATCCGGAATGATGTGTTCATTAACATGTACTGTCCCAACCAAATAAACAATAATTTAATAAATAAACAATACAAATTTTAACTTAATTCTAAAAGCGACAGAAAGCCAATGTAGAGACGACCACAGGAGTGATGTGCTCTGGTCGTCTGGTGCCAGTCAGCATCCAGCTGCTGGGTTCTATACTAGCTGCAGTCTGTGAATGGAGGACTGGTCAAGGCTATAGTACAGTGAGTTACAATAGTCCAGCCGTGTGGTATTAGAGCATGGACCAAAAATACATAATACTAACACCACACCAAGATTTTTGGAATATGGGCAGTAAGAGTACAGGCAGTAAGAGTACAGGCTACACACACCATTGAGAACAGAAAGATCAGGTTCACCTTTTCTTGTCAGTTAAGTTTAAAAAATGTATAGACATCTAGTCTTTTACATCATTAAGACATTTCTGCAGTGCTTGGATGGAATAAGAATTTGCATTCAAAGGCAAATAAATTTGAACATCCTCAGCAAAGCAGTGGAACAAAATGTTATGCTTTTTGAAAATCCAGCCTAAGGGCAGCATGTAGGGCGAAAATAAAACTGGTCCTACATCATAACCTTGCGGTATGCCACTGTCAAGAGAGGCTTTCCTGGAGCTGTAAAAGCCACGATTTACAGAAAACACCCGATCGGACAGGTCCGAGTGGAACCATTTGAATGCTGTGCCTTTAATTCTAACAGAGGAGTCAAGGCAAGAGATAAAAATGTTGTGATCGACGGTGTCGAACGCTGCTGTCAGATCTAAAAGCACTAACATAGAGGGGCCACCGAAGTAAGGAGATAAACCCAGATTGAAAAATTTCAAAAAAGTCATTTGATTTAAGGTGCTGGTTAAGAACTACTTTTTCTAAAAGCTTAGATAGAAAAGGCAGTATAGAAATAGGCCTAATATGAAACTCTCCTATGACACCCTAGAGGAGTAGACGTGTGTGTTGGAGCTCCCGAACCTTGAACTTATACAAGGCCATTTGCCTACTATGACCTCTCTTTTGTTTTGAGCAGCTCGCCCTAAACTGTTTTTTAATTTTTACGCTTGGAATAATGTCAAGAAAGTCAAGAAAAGAGGACTCGGAACAACCAGACTTGGCTAGTTTCACTAGCACCATGACGGAGCTGCTAACCACGAAGCTAACTGAGCATAAAGCAGATCTTTTGGCGGAGATAAAGGAAACCCACACAAGATACGAGGCAAAGCTGAACAGCGTTCTAACAATTTTCGATGACCATAAACGGCGAATTTTCAGCTTGGAACTGTCTGCAAATGCCACCAGCGCTGACTTTATGGGGATCCAAGCCACGCTGGGAGCTTTGTCTGCAGAGAATGCTAAGCTAAAGGCTAAAGTGGTGGATTTAGAAGGCAGAAGCCGAAGCAATATTCGCATCGGCATCAGATATCGAGAAGGCCACTAGACCAATAAAATTCTTTTCGCAGTTGCTTTTTGACGCTCTAGGCACTGACGTTTTGCTGTCACCACCGGAGTTGGACAGGGCTCCTCGAACGCTGGCTGCTAAGCCAGGCCCCACTGGAAGAGCGTGACTGATGCTGGTTTGTTGTCACAACTTTCAAACTCGGGAACGGGTGGTTCGTGAGGCTCGCAGGCTTAGGGGACAGTTGAAGTACAAGGACGTTGTTGGGTTTGGGTTTGCTCTGCCTCCCCCTTCAGGGCATGTGTGTGACTGGGGGCGTGGCTGGCTCTGCAGCAGGTGTGTGGGCTCACACACCTGTTCCTCATCAGCTCTGCATAAAGCTCTGGTGCAGACATCTCTTCTCTGCCAGATTATTCAATGTCTCAAGTTAGTGTGCAGCAGCAGTGTGAGTTTTTGCTCTTGTGTTATTTTTTGGGTTTTTTGGGTTTTTTGTGTCCTGTGTTCAGGTCTCCCTTTTTCCGGACCAGCCAGCCAGCTCCATGTCACCACTGCCTGTCTTGTGTTTAAGTAAAGTAAAGTAAAGACTTCCCTTGAATCGTGCTCAGTCTGTCTCTGCTTTGGGGTCCAACACGCAATCCTTAACAGACGTTCCTATTCATATTGTGGAGGATTACCCCCTCGAGGTGGTGGAGCAGCGCACCCCATACCGAGTCGTCACGAAGCGGCTCTACGACATGGGCCTCAGACCAGCGCTGTGGTTTCCAGCTAAACTGTCCGTGGTATTCGAGGATGGCATGAGGAAGTTTCTTCCATCAGTAAAGGATGCCATGGACTTTTCAGACTCTCGAGATCGCCGTGAGTTGATGGATAACTGACATAAATGGTGTTTCCACTGGTTACTGTGAGTATTTTGGAACTTTGCTAGTAATGTGAACATTTTTCACATTGTTTTTATTCATGTAGCCTTAAGTTATTAATTATTAATACTCTTTTTTTGTTGTTGTTTTTTTTCTCGTTTTGTTCTAAGCAATGACCATGAGCAGCTATACCACATTTATTTCATATGCATGTTCATTTATTTAGTTAAACTAAATAATTTTATTGTTATTGCCAGGATCAAAAACATAGTGTCTAAAGCAGACTTGAAGATTCTTATCCATGCATTTGTCTCCAGTAGGTTAGACTACTGCAATGGCCTGCTCACAGGTCTGTCCAAACAGGCTGTAAAACAGCTGCAGTACATTCAAAATGCAGCAGCTCGAGTCCTGACTAGAACCAGGAAGTACGACCATATTAGTCCGGTCCTCAGGTCTCTGCACTGGCTTCCTGTGGCTCAGAGACTTTAGAACAGCTCTGCTTGTGTACAAGTCTCTCCATGGCCTCGCACCAAAATATATTAGTGACATGTTAGTGCCATATGAACCAGCCCGGACTCTGAGGAGCACAGGGACTGGACTCCTGTTAGTGCCCAGAGTCAGAACTAAACATGGGGAGGCTGCTTTTCAGATTCATGCTGCTAAAATCTGGAACAATCTTCCTGAATCTGCAGTTCATCCAGAGTGATCAAGGGCCTCTTGGCTGCATCTCTGATCAGTCTTCTCCTTGTTTGAGATGAAAGTTTGGAGGGACGGCCGGGTCTTGGTAGATTTGCAGTGATCTGATACTCCTTCCATTTCAATATAATTGCTTGCACAGTGCTCCTTGAGATGTTTAAAGCTTGGGAAATCTTTTTGTATCCAAATCTGGCTTTAAACTTCTCCACAACAGTATCTCGGACCTGCCTGGTGTGTTCCTTTGTCTTCATGGTTCTCTCTGCGCTTTAAACAGAACCCTGAGACTATCAAAGAGCAGGTGCATTTATACGGAGACTTGATTACACACAGGTGCATTCTATTTATCATCATCAGTCATTTAGGACAACATTGGATCATTCAAAGATCCTCACTGAACTTCTGGAGTGAGTTTGCTGCACTGAAAGTAAAGGGGCCGAATAATATTGCACGCCCCACTTTTCAGTTTTTTATTTGTTAAAAAAGTTTAAATTATCCAATAAATTTCATGATTCATGACAAAAAATTAAAATTTTATATCTTTATGTTTGAAGCCTGAAATGTGGCAAAATGTTGAAAGGTTCAAGGGGGCCGAATACTTTCGCAAGGCACTGTAACTATAAGGGGTTTTAAGTTTCATAGTCATTCAAAGGCAAAGTAACATTTTCATTTTATTTTATTGGAATATTTTGTGTTTTACTGGTTTGTGTGTTTTGATAATTCAACATTTCTGCCAAGATTTGTAATTTTGTTTATATATGTTTTGTTTTTTTAAGGTAAATTGACCTTTATTACGGTGCCCTTTGTAATGTGGGAGATGAGAATTGCTATACATGTTGGGAGTCTATTTGTTGGTGTCGCGGACACCACCTTTGTACAATGGACACGATATTTCCTTCTCTTTTCGGGGTGTTTTAGGCCAAGGGGTTTCATTTGTTGGTTTGAGTGTATGTGAGAGTATGAGTGTTTTTTATTCCTCTTTTTTTCTGCGCAGGTTCCTACACTGTTCAGCTCATTTGTTCAGAACCCGAGTTGTGTCCGTCTATATGAATAAATCCTCACTGCAAGTATGACCTCTACTCATAATGCTCTACGTTTGTCCCGTGGAATGTGAGGGGCACTGGGAATGTCACAAAATTGGGGCGGGTAAAGGCTCACTTGAATCAGCTTAAAGGAGATATTTATTTTATTCAAGAGACCCATATGCTTAACAAGGATGTTAAGAAGATGGCGCCTCGTACGGTCGACACGGCTCTTTGCTGCTCTCTTTTTCTTTTGTTTTTACTTTTTAACTGCGCATCTGGCTGTTCCTACACCCGTGAGGAACTTATGAACATCCGACCCACCGTTCCCATGGACCTATTGCCTGTTTTCTTGGCATCTGCGGCTGATTTAGTTCATGTTCTAGCCAAAAAAGTGTGGGCCCGTAAAAGGGGAAAGCGCGGAGGCCTGCTGGTGCGTCTTAGGAGGAGAGGAGCGCGCACGGCTCTCCCCGGCATTTTTCTCTCCAACGTACGCTCACTGGGCAATAAGATGGACGAACTCAGCCTGCTCATGAGAAGAAACAAGGACTTCGCCACATCCTGTGTGTCCTCTGCTTCACTGAGACCTGGCTAAATGAGCGGATCCCGGACTGCGCTCTGGAGCTGCAGGGCTTTGGGCTGTTCCGCGCGGATCGCCATTGTGCGCTCTCAGGGAAGAGCAGAGGCGGAGGGCTCTGTTTCTACGTCAATACAAACTGGTGTAACGATGTGACAGTGATCTCCAAGCACTGCTCTCCTGCTCTGGAATATCTTTTCATCCATTGTAAACCATATTACTCCCCGCGCGAAATTGTTTCATTCATTCTTGCCTCTGTTTACATACCGCCATGCGCGGACGCGCGCGAGGCTCAGCGCGCACTTGCAGAGCAAGTACTGTGTATGGAACGCTTATACCCGGACTCTCTGATTATTATCCTGGGGGATTTTAATAAGGGAAACTTGAGCCAGGAATTACCCAAATACAGACAGTTTATCAAATGCCCGACCAGAGAGGAGAACACTCTGGATCACTGTTACACCACCGTGCGCGGAGCTTTTCGCGCTGTTCCCAAGCCAGCCCTCGGCTTCTCAGATCACTCCATGATACATCTGGTTCCTGCTTACAGACAGAGACTAAAGCTCTCGAAACCTGCAGTGAGGAGCTCCAAAGTGTGGTCTGATGAAGCTGTGGAAGAGCTGCGCGCATGCATGGAATCTACAGACTGGGACCTTTTCAGAGCTGCCACAGATAGTTTGGATGAATACACGGACACTGTGACGTCATACATTCACTTCTGCGAGGATAGCATCATTCCAACAAGGACCAGGGTCATCTATAACAATGACAAACCCTGGTTCACTGCTAAACTCCGGCAGCTCAGGAAAGCAAAGGAGTCTGCTTTCAGGGAGGGGGACCGCAGCGGCTACAAAGCAGCTAAATATCAGTTCAGGAAAGAACTGAAAGCAGCCAAGTCCCGGCACAGAGAACGACTACAGGAGCAGATTGGTAACAACGATACTGCTTCTGTCTGGAGGGGCCTACGGGAGATCACCAACTACAAACCCAAAGCCCCCCCCTGTGCTGACGACCACAAGCTAGCTGACGAACTGAACTTATTTTTCAGTCGCTTTGATGCTGCCCCTGACACCTCCCCCACCCCCCACTACTCTAACGACCCACCCATCAGCCCTGCCCCCAGCCTAACAATAGCCGCTAAAGAGATTAAAAAACTCTTCTTGAGGCTGCACCCCCGCAAAGCTCCTGGCCCGGACCACGTGTCTCCGGCCACTCTGAGACACTGCGCCAGTGAGCTTACTCCTGTGTTCACGGACATTTTCAACACCTCTCTGCAGTCCTGCCATGTCCCGGCCTGCTTCAAATCCTCCATCATTGTCCCCGTCCCGAAGAAGCCCAGGATCACAGGACTCAATGACTACAGACCTGTAGCACTTACGTCTGTCGTCATGAAGTCATTTGAACGCCTGGTCCTCTCCCATCTCAAGTCCCTCACCTCCCCCCTCCTGGACCCCCTGCAGTTCGCCTACAGAGCCAACAGATCTGTAGACGACGCCATTAACCTGGCCCTCCACCACATCCTACAGCACCTGGACTCCCCGGGGACCTACGCCAGGGTCCTGTTCGTGGACTTCAGCTCTGCCTTCAACACAATCCTGCCATCCCTGCTCCAGGACAAGCTCTCCCAGCTCAACGTGCCCGATTCCACCTGCAGGTGGATCACTGACTTCCTGACGGACAGGAAGCAGCGAGTGCGTCTGGGGAAGAATGTCTCGGACTCTCGGATTATAAATACAGGAGCCCCACAGGGCTGTGTTCTTTCTCCCCTGCTCTTCTCCCTGTACACCAACCACTGCACCTCCATCCACGACTCCGTGAAGCTGATCAAGTTCGCGGACGACACCACCCTCATTGGACTCATCTCCAACAACGATGAGTCCGCCTACAGGAGGGAGGTGGACCGGCTGGTGTCCTGGTGTAGTGGTAACAACCTGGAGCTGAACGCCCAGAAGACAGTGGAGATGATTGTGGACTTCAGGAAGAGCACTGTCCCCCCGCCCCCACCCTCCGTGATGGACTCCCCCATCACCTCTGTGGAGTCCTTCCGTTTCCTGGGCACCACCATCACCCAGGACCTCAAGTGGGAGCCGACCATCAGCTCCCTCATCAAGAAGGCCCAGCAGAGGATGTACTTCCTGCGGCAGCTCAGGAAAGCCAAGCTGCCTGCACAGATGTTGGTGCAGTTCTACACGGCCATCATCGAGTCCATCCTCACCTCCTCCATCACCGTGTGGTTCGCTGGAGCCACAGTCAGGGACAAACAGAGACTACAGCGCATTGTGCGCTCTGCAGAGGAAGTGATCGGCCGCAGCCTTCCATCGCTGCAGGACTTGTACGTCGCCCGAGCTCGAGGCCGGGCTGGTCGTATCACAGCCGACCCCTCTCACCCTGCACATGGACTATTCCAACCACTCCCCTCAGGCAGGAGGCTGCGGTCCATCAGGACTAGAACCTCCCGCCACAAGAACAGTTTCTTCCCCTCTGCTGTTGGACTCTTGAACACTTCTTAACCTGTCCCCCCGCCCTTTTAAAGTCACTTTACTGCCCATCATACGTCACTTTACTTCACTGTACTGCTGTCACCTTACATTGTGTGCACCATGTGCACTTGTATATTGTAAATAGTAACTGTAACTCTATTTTAAATTTATTCTTTAGAAGTGTTTTTTATTCTTACTCTTATTTTTATTATCTCTTTTTGACTGTTGCACTGAGCCAAGGCAATT